CCTCTCTGTCTAGCTAAAGAAATCCCCGTGTGACATTGGACATATCAGTTAACATCCTTGGGCCACACTTTCCAGCTTTACAATGAAGAGGTTGAGTTTAAGTCAGATGATTAAGTTAAAGTTAAGACGCCACATAGGGAGTTAGTGAGGAGAGTCAGAATAAAACTCAGTTTTTCCTTACCTTAATCCACCTCTAAACCTCTTTATTTCAATAAATGTTAATTGACTGACTTACACACCTGTGATCTTAACAGGTGTTCCTAATTTTTCCCAGAAAGTGACTGGAGGAAATATATCAGTGAGAAGTGTCGACAGACAATCGCAATTTAATTAAACTTATATGAAAATCTAGGTTTACTACGAGAGAAATGGACATGCACGTGGAACCCAAAGACAGAGCAAAGAGTTGACCATCCATACAGAAGTCTGCATATTTATGACAGCACGACAAAGGAAGGAGGATTTACCAGAATCTCTACCAAATGGGGCGTGGCATGGGAGGAGAAAGGTTCAGTAAAGCTAGGAAAAGGACAAAACCCTACTGAAAGGGAAGGAGTAAAGCTACTGCAAAAGCCACATTCTTTTCCCCTGGGAACTACTGGACCCTTGCCCAGCTGCACAAGCCTAGTGCAGACTGTCTGGCACCTGTCTTGACTCCCAAGGACACACAGTCCAGTACTGGATGCAAACAGCAAATTATTTTAGCTGGGGTGGGGGTGGGGGTCATCTTTGACACGTTCAGGGCCTTCTTCATGCTCTGGGTCCAGTGTTCCTGGAAAATATGGCAACTCAAAAAGACAAGTGCAGGGGACACCTTAGCAGACGTTGGGAAATGTATGCAGGTGTACATTTGGTGACAGCTTTGCATTTCTTCTTTCATTACTCTTACAGACACTTCCATTACATCGTTTTCATGCTGCTTGTTGTATGTGGCTGCTGCTCTGACTATACTCAGGGTTGAATTCATTGAAGGACAAGTGAGGACAGATCCTAAAGAGCTGGGATTACAAGGGAACAGTATAGGACCAGCAGAGAGTGTGAAGTATTGGAGTATGAAGTAATTGGAATGATCCCTTTCTTTAAATCAGCCAGCTTATTGTTTATTAAGCACTTACTGTATGCCAGGCACTGCAAACACAAAGAAATCTAAAAGACAGACCCTGCTCTCAATTTAATGGGGGAGGCAACTTGCAACCAATAATATACAAAATAAATTCGAAATAATCATCAGAGAGAAGGCATTAATTGCATAATAAGTCACAGAGGGTTCCAAATGCCGAACTCTTTCACCTAATCATTTTACCACCTGGGGAAAGTGGCAGGAAAATGAGAGGAGATGAGAAGGCAAAATACTCTCTTTTTGGTTTGCTGTACGACACCTTCTTTAGAGCTATTCACTTTGCTGTGTGTTTTTAATAAATCATGCGGTCACTGAAAAGTCTTTCTGAGTCTTATGAATGAGATTGGCCAACTGGACATAGAGTGAGGGATGAAAAACAAATTATGATTTCTAGAATGTTAATATTTCAGAGTAATATTCCATATTCTTTTTCATATTCCTAGGTAATTTATGAATTGAGGACCAGTAGCACCATTCTGTGAGTTCTGTAAGCTTTTAGTATTGGGAAAGAGAATAGTCTAAGAGCATTTAGGCTGAGTGCCCTTTTGTGAGCTGGGCGAATACTACTCCTCTTGAGCAAATTATCACATGTGCACAGAACATACTTTTTTGAAGCAGTTCGGCTGGTGGCTTGAGGGTAGCATCATTTGGGACCAAATGATCCGTCATCACCCATTCACACACCTCCTGCTCCAGATAGAAACCCTCCATTTTAACAAATAGGTAGAGAGTCAAGCAAAACATATCATTATGATACAATGGGAAAAGCAGTGTTTCTGGAGTCAAAGCACCTGAGTTCTAATCTTGTCTATGATGTTTACTACCTGCATGACTTCAGGCAACTTAATCTACCTATGCTAAAATTTCTTCATCTAGAAAATGAAGGAGTTGGGTTAGAAAGTCACATAGGACATCTACCCGCCACTGTCACAGGAATACACGAGTGCATAAATCTCACTATTAAATATTTCCTTTTTATCACTATTTTTAGCACAGATTCCAAGACACAGATAAATCAACTTTTGGTACCGTGACACAATTTTCAAGTTCAACAGAGTTTTGGCATTTCAAACCCCCATCAAGAGACAAAATGAAGACAGATCATGGTTATCATCATCTGTTAGTATCAGATACTCATTTTAATTGACAGCTTTGTACTTCTCTCCCTGGTAGGGACATATCATCAGTCTGATTTCAGTGACAAAGGGAAAAACCTATAAATTTTGTTCTCAAGGAAGAAAGGGATTGGATTTTTCTCTTTAATTTCTTCAAAGTTTACTCCTTAATTAACCAGAATACTGTTGACTAAAGCCATAATCTAATTCAATTGTGCTTCTTTTGTCCACTGTGTTTCTCCCAATTACATTGCTGTATTTCTTTTTAAAATAAAAAAAGAATCTTTCATTCAAAAATGTAATCTCATAGAAAATATGTAGTGTTGTTAGAGAGTTTTATGCTTTACAAAAGGGCTTTTACTGATAGTATAAACATTTTATTTTCGCCATAACTCTGAGAAGGAAGTAGAGAAATGTCTCCTTCTTAGTAATGGAGAAGTAGACACAATGAAGGAAAATAAATTGACTTAGGTAAAGTCAAACAGAAAATTGATACCAGTGTCTGGAAAGCCACCTCTTACTCTGTCTTATAGTACAAATTTAGTAAAAATAAATACATTGCAAGGTTTGTGTTGGGCTCCCTCCCAAAGTCTTAGACCTTCCCTGTTGTTCAGTCATATCTGACTCTTTGTGACACCATTTGGGGTTTTCTTGAAAAATATACTGAAATGGTTTGCCATTTCCTTCTCCAGCTCATTTTACAAATGAGGAAACTGAGGCAACCAGGGTTAAGTGACTTGCTTACAGGATGATACAGCTAGTAAGTATCTGAAGCCACATTTGAATTCAGGAAGATGAGTCTTCTTGACTTTAGGCACTGAGCCACCTAGCAGCTCTAGTCCTTCCCACATCACCTTACATACAGCTAAAAATTTAGAGATTATCAGTAATCAAAAAAATACTTATGTTCAGTATCATATACTGAGGCAGAAGGGTGAAATAACACAGTTAGACCTGATACTACAATGTTTTTGAATTAGCCCTTGATTAATCTGAATGTTCCATTAACCTGCCCACAGTGACAGGGCTCTCCATACTAATTCAGATTCGATATGTTACATTGTGTGGCTTGTTGGATTTAGACACAGGAATACTTGGGCTCAGTGTGTCATTCTGATAGTAGCTACCTTTGTGACCCTTGACAAAATCAAATCTCCATTTGCTTTAAGCAGTTCCCTAGGATCTGTCCCCTAAATTACATATGGATTATGATCCATCTCAGTGATAGAATTTGCCATAAGAATAGCTTCCCATACAGACAAAATGCCTGCTCCTTTGAGTACTGCCTTAACTAGATCCTTCTTCCTCTGCCCCCCCAAGCATTCCATGAATTTAAGAAATGCTTATCACATACAACAAATGAATCAAATAATAATTAAGAACCCTCTGATTTTTATACAACTATGAGGGGCAGCATGGTGTATAACTGGAAGGAGCAGCCTTTAGCCCCTTTCTGTTAAATGCTGATTCATCCATCCATCGCGTTTTCCTCTCCAAGGATTAAAGGATGCTGTTAACGTTATTAATGCTGGTTTGGTTATCTCAAACTCCTTGATATTCATCTATGTCATTGCCTGATTACACAGCCATGTTCTTCATTGAACTAACTTTTTAAAAGCAGTTTGAGTCCATGTAAAGTATGACTTGGGTTGCACGGTCAGTGCAGAGAAAAGATGACAGTAGTAATGATACTGTATCACATCTACCTGTAAATCTCCAAGTGAGAAAGTGTTCTTTCCTGGTTGTCTAAGACAAATGCCAGAGGGTGAGACAACCTTATATTCATTCTAAAGTAGAATATTCCACATCCCTAAATTTTATGACAATTGTAATAACAGCTCACATCCATAGTTTCTTAAATTTGTAAAAAAACCTTTCTTTGCACAGCCCTATTATCTAAGTCATACTAGTATTATTCTCATACTATAGATAAAACAGCATGATGTAGTACTGAGAGTTCAGGACATGGAGTATGGAAAAACCTAGGTTTAAATTCTTAGCTCTTAACAATAGCCAGGTGAACCTGGACAAGTCATTTAAGGTTGGTGTTACATTGTTAGACAACTCTTTAGGACTTCCGGTTCAGAGATTAAGAACTGAAGGAGAATCTAGAGGTCCCCTACTCCAACTGCTTCATCTTACAGAGGAAAAGACTAAGCTTCCAAGAGATTCAGTGAGTTGCCCAGAGCCCCACAAGTAGTCATTTGCATTTGTATTCACATACAGTTCTTCTGACCTGCCCCAGATCAAGCGTTCTTTCCAGTCTACCATGGCTAACTCTGATTGACATATTGTGCCAATATCATTACCCATGTTTCATCTGAAGCTCTAAAATGTGAAGTAATTTACCCACTTACACGTAGCTAATAAGAGTCTGAGGAAAGATGGCCAGTGAGCTATCCATCTGTAGTAGCATGCTGCCTATTATATGAGAAAATGAATTTAATAAATCACAGGCTTATAGATTTAGAACCAAAAGGGATGTTAGAGGTCATCTAATTCAACCCCCTCCTTTTACATTTGAGGAAACCGAAGTTCAGGAAAGTTAAGTGACTTGCCCAAGTTTGCATAGGTAGGAAGCTTCAGAGATGGGATTTGAACTTATACCCTCTGGCTCAGGCCAGTGCTTTTTCCACAGTACTGCCCTTCACTCTCTCATAGTTGGTTATGCTGTAACTTTTTTCATTAAGTATGGTAGCAAAACAGGCCACCTAGTCTGACATGATTAGGGTAAAAAGAAAAATCCTTGGAGGAAAGGTGCTTACCAATACAGGATTCTCCGGAGAGTGAATAGGTTCCATTGTCATGGAAACCGCTTCTGCACTCACAGTGGTACCACCCTGGCAGGTTAACACAGCGGGAATGGTTGTGGCACTCAATGATTCCCTCTGTACATTCATCAATATCTGCCTCAGAGAAAAAAACAAGCCAGACAGGGAATTAATTTCCTTTGACACTAACATTTATGCTTAAAAAAAAAATTCTCACATTTAATTATCAATTAAAATGCCCAAGGTGAAAGATGTAGGTACTGTAGATTCCCACTTACATAGATTCCAAATAAATGGCAGAAAAATCTTCATATTTCTGTACAAAGATAATTAATGTTCTTGTAGCCTAGTTAAAAAGGTTTTTTGTTTTTTTTTGTTTTTGCCTCCCCAAAGCCTTTTTTGGAGACCTGCTGCTCCCATACCTCCCAGAAATGTTTCCTCCCTCCTGATTTAATTGTACTTTGTACTCCATTGCCTTATAATCTAATTGGGGAGGGTTTTTTTTTTAGGTTTGTTTTTAGTTCGATTTGGTTTATTTTTTCTCAGAGTTAGTAATTAAAAGTATATAGGAGCTGGTCTGGAAGTCAGGAATGTCTGGGTTCATTCCCTGCTTCTTGACATATATTTGTTCAATGGCCCTGGACAAAATACTTAACCCTCTTGTTCCAGGGACATCCAGAGGTCCTCTAGTTCATTCCTTTCATTTTATGATTGGGGATATTGAGGACCAGGAAGGTTAAGACTGCAGGACATAGAGAAGCTTTTGGTGTGTATTGGTTGCCTCAGGAGAGTTTCCTCATATCCCATACATGAATGATTTCACAGATATAGCCATTACGCTTTTTGAAAAAATGTATATGTGTTTTATTTCCCCCACTGGATCTTAACTACACTGATGCATAGAGATCGTGTATTTTTCATCTTGTGTCTCTGAGTGTTCTGTATATAATTGGCATACAGGAAATGAATGAGTTAATGACAATAATAATAGATATAAGACCCTTAAGTGATTCATGAATCATAAAAAAAAATGACTTATATTAGAGGCACTTTTAGAATATATATGGGATTTCATTGGCATAGAAGGCCACCTTTACCAATATAATCAGCAACTCATAGATAACTTCAAGTTGTAGAGAGCTCCTCTGGCCCTCAGAATTTAAGTTATCACATATAAAATCATTCAGTTAATTTGTGTCCAGATGGGATTTGAACTTAGGTCTTCTTGACTCCAAGGTTAGCCCTCTCTAAGCTGTATCATGTAGCCTCTAATAATAGCCAACATTCATAAAGCACTTTAAGATTTGCCAAGAACTTTATATATGTTATCTCATCTGATCCTAATAACAACCCTATGATGTGGGTGCTGTTATTAACCTCGTTTTACAGATAAGCAAACTGAGGTAGACAAGATTATATAGCTAATGAGTGTCTAAGACTGGATTTGAACAAAGGTCTTCCTGACCCCAAATCTAGCACTCTGTCCATATCTATGCTAAAATGTAGTCTGATTCATTAATATTAATAATCCATGAATGGATTAATCCAAAGAGTTGAATATAGAAAATTTTATTCCTTAGACATTCTATAAGAGTGAGCATATAACATACATGAGTTTCAATCCAGGAATTTCCATTTTATTATCAGAAGTAGTTCTGTGACTATCTATATACATATGTAATAGCTATATATACATGTTCATATAGAAATACAATTTTATTTATATGTAATATTTAATTTTATACATATGTGTATATGTATTTATATATGCAAAATCAGAGGTATAGACAGCACAGAATGGTCATTCACCTGCCTCTGAATAGAACTATGTTCTCATTCTCTCCTAAGATAATAAGATATCCTTCAAAATCTCTACAGAAGGCTTAGATTCTTAAATTTTAGCCACTGCTGGGATTCTTATAATCTAGCCATGGCTTAGATTCTTATAATCTAGCCAACAGCTTACTAATGTTCAGACTCCTTAAGAGTCTGCCTAATATGACGGATGTTCTAATAAACCTTGTCTTTGGCTGGAAAAAAAAATCTCTAAAGAAGAAACTCTCAGATCTTCGTGTAGTAAAACAATGCTAAGAACCCATTATTCCTTTGCAAACCAGAGCTAACAATCTAAACAAAGACAACTGGAAGGCACAAGTGGCAAGCCTTGACAAAAATTGTCAAGAGACTTGTGTCCCTTAATCGACTTCCGTCACTAACCGTGTCTTTTGGGGCATATCATTTCACTTCTTTACATGGCTTTTTCCTTATCTTAATAATTCCCTTATCTTCTTATTCCTAAATAGTTGAGTTGTGCTAAATTCTTGTTAAGGTTCCTTCTAGCTCTGAGACTCTATACTCTGATCTAACAACATATGGTCTAAGAACCCTTCAGGCTCCAACATTCAGTGCGCTCTGTTGTAGCATGTCTTGTTCTAAGATCCCTTCAGGCTTTGACAGTCTGTGGTTTGGAAGGTAAGAAATGCTCCGTAGAGATTGGCTGGGAGCTGGGGAGCAGCAATGGGTACCTTGCCCCAACACAATCTTCATTCCCTCTATTTTTATTCTTAAATGTGCTGGACAACAGAAGAGATGATTAAGTGCTTGTGTGACATAAGGCAGCAATAGAGTTGAGTCCATTGTGACAAAAAAGAAGACACAAGCAGATTTAAAATTTTCCACATCAATATGTTCGCTGAGAAAAGCAGAGGGGCAAAAGAGGAACATGTTTGCCACTGTATGCATGAGAAAAGCAGTTTAGCCTTATAGGTACACTCTCTATATTTGGCATTTTGAATAGGAGCTTTTAAACTCCTTGAACATCCCACTCAGCATCTAGAACGACCTTGGCTGATTCCTCCTTGGCACCTGGCTCTTGTTTGGCTCCTTAGGCTCATGCTTTATTTGTGAGGACAATAATTAAAAGTTGGCAAATTAATTTTATGGGTAATGTTGTTGTGATTAAGAAGGTGCTATATTTTTCATGATATTAATTTAAAAAAATGATTGCTACTTCTGTTGGCCCTATGGACCTGAGAAAACAACAGGCAACATCAAAACAAAGGAAATGCCTGCAGTTTACAGCAGCACTCTAGGATCACTTCAGAATCATAACCAAGTACCTTTTCCTCAGCCAGGATGGGTTGCTTTTGTCCTCTGGGATTCATCTCAAGCCATCAGCAGTTTTACAGGAAAGGCAAGGAGGAACAGTAGAAAGAGCAATGATTGGAGCAAGAGGACCTTGTTCAAATCCAGTATCTGATGCCAGCGACCTGCATGATCCTGGACAAGTCACCCTCTCTAGGCCTCAGTTTCCTCATCTTTAAAACGAGGGGGTTGCCCTAAATGGCCTATAATGGCCTTCCAACCCTCTAGCTTCACATCCCATGACTGGCTGTACTAGCTGCCTCTGCTTACAGATGCCATAAATTTGGGCTTCTTAAAACAAAGACTCTACCCTAGATTACATTAATTTCTCTAACGTTAGAGTTAGAAAAGGGACCTTAGAATACGGAAAGTTAGAACACTGAATGTAAGCTGGTAAGGACCTTAAAAACATAGACTATTTGACGTACAGACCAAAGAACATTAGACCTAGAAGTAAGGTTAGAGTTCTAATCTAAGCTATGGCCCAGAAAGGAAGTAAATTGTCCAACTTCCCCCAGTTTGTTGCCAAACTAGGACTGAAAACTCAGTCTCCTCATCCTCCCCTCAGTGCTTATTCCACTACCGGTCACTCCTCCTGGAAACATATCCCAAAGTTTCCCTTCAGAAAAAAGTTGTCTTTTTTCCCTCTTCTGTTATATCCTTTGCATTGCCATTTAAACTTCACTTTAAATAAAGGAGTGAAACAACCCCAAACCTGGAAACAGAAACCCAAGTTTACACTCTGCTTAAGTTGAACAATTAGCATCAGAGGATAGATAACATCAGGGTTTCTTTCAGTCTTTATTTATTATTATTTGCCTCCCAAAGCACACTCAATGATTATTGCTTTAAACATTGCTTTCCCCATCATGCCTTCTTTTCCTTAGAGTTTTTAAAGAAGTCAATTTCCACATCAAAATGACATACTAATTGTAGCTGCCTTCACAAGGCCACTTCAACCTGCTACTCATGCTCTGCCATTCATTAAAGCAAATGGAATTTGTAACTGATTTTTTTTCACATGTCTTGTCTGATGGAACAAACTTAATCTGCCTTTGAAAGTATGTGAGTTTGCTACTATAAGCCAGTTTTGGGGGGAGGTGAGGGAGGGGGAAATGATCTTATACCTTCTTTTTGTTTGTTGGAAACCTTGGCATGCATGGTTCCTCAGTGTCTATACCATAAAATCCAGACTCCTAAACTCAGCATTCACATTGGTAAGAGGGCCTGTTTCTTGGCCTCTTTACATTCTGTAGTGCTGTCTTTTCTTGCTCTGCTACCCTTCTTGCAACCTATTCTCCAGCTAACTCAGGTTACTCATTCTATCTATTTTTCTATCACTCTGCCTTGGCTCATGCTTCACTTCCTCCTGGAATGCTCCTTTCCCACAATTTTTGCATGTCAAAATCATACTCTCCCTTTATCCAGATCCCATACTACTTTTTTTTTTCAGTGAAATCATTATGGAAACAGCATCCTAGACTTGACTGTTATATTTCTACAGCTAGATACTACGATAAAGTGCTTTTGCTACACTGAAGGTCTTTGGGAAATTGTCTTTCCTTTGGGAAATTTTGTTATCTCTATACAGAACATTGGACAACATGAATTCAAATTCTTGTGATCAAATCCTGTTCATGTTACTTTTCTCCTAAATGTTCCAACTAACTCTTTTCTGTATCTTCACTTGTCATCCACCTTGGTATTATACTGTCAGTTGTCTTTTAGCCTGCTTTTAAATTGGTGCGGAGGAGTGTAAAATAAACAGCTTCACCGAGCTCAGAAGCCATCTTGGATACTGTACCCTCTAGTGTGTCTGCAGTTGGATAATTCCCTGAGACTATATCCTTCTTAATGGCATGGACCTTTTCTTTTTTGTATGACACAATACTTCCCTTTCCCCCTACTGCCTTGAACACAGTAGATGTTCAATACCGAAGATTGTTGCAATGGCCAATTCAATGTCAAATTGAATTAGATCTAAAAATTTA